GAAACACACGGCTGCTCAGCATAGTAAACCGTGGCTAACAAGGCGATAATAGCCTTGGTCTTTGGCATAGTGAACGGCTGGTTGTCAAGCTCCATAATTTCCATCATTAAATTGCTTGAGATTTGCATCCTCTCTGGCAAATTTTTTGGTTTGTCAAAAGCCTCCGCAATGGATTTAAGTCCGGATGACTTATTGAATGCCAGCTTGTTGTTGTTAGCATTTTTAGCAGCACGGACACGGTGCTGCATTCAGGAGGTAAGGGGCATTGCATGTTCTCAATTTGGGAGTGGTCGTTCCGACATTTTTATGTTTATAATTAAAAGGTTTGTTTGTAACATACAGGGTTAATTGATAAAATAATATTAATTCTTAAAATGACTGGTTGTTTTTCAGTATTCTAATTATTTTTCTAGTGAGAAACTTGTTTTTTCTGATGCTACTTGAACGTTGCTCGGGTCGTGCCGGATGGGAAGCGGCTTGACCAAAAATCACTCACCGCCGCGCTGGCAAACATACAGTACATATATTATCGGTTCTGTTTGTTATGATATCGGACCGATGAGTATGATGTCATAATTTCCTGATATCAGGCTGATAACTATCGGGCCGATAATTATCGTGCACCCCTAAAACTTTCATTTTAATCACCTCTGGACATGTCCTTATGTAATTCTTTTAGCTGTTTATCTCAATCCCAATTTAGCACATTTTGTGTTAGAGAATTCTTGACAGTATTTGTACACAAAAGGTTCAATAGGAGGTCAGTCAGGCTTTGAAAGTGTTTGTTAAACTAAGTTGAATGTAGAGGAACCACAGTGTTTCAACAACAAACTACAATTCAAAGTGAAAGCTTTGACAGGTCATTACTACCATCTTTTGAATTGTGTGCTTATAGTTGAAAGCACCACCCATTAGCAGATGGCTAAATGAAATATAGAATGACAGACATTTATTGAAGTTAACAAGGAATTTTTATGAACCCCCCAGTTATCTAAATAGGTTTCACCAACTGCTGCTTTGTGTATGTTCATATTTCAGTCAGACAAAAGGAAAACAAAAAGGTAACTACAGCCCTAAGAGGATTCTGGAAAGATTAGCCTTTCATCTTAGAAAATGATTGTCTGCAGTTCGCATAGAAAAGAGCAACCCATCTACAAAAATGTACAAAAGGGTTTTATTTTTTTCTTCTTTAACATGTGACACAACTCTATATCCATGACAAATGAATGTGGTCACAACATTTAAATGATCCTCATATACTTAAATATTTACAATGGTACATCTTGGGGTGATAACTAAGATTCAAGCAAGTAAAGATTGAATTGATCAAACAGTCTGAGTGCACTTTATCCAAGTGCTGTAAAAATGTTTTAGACAGAAAGCTTGTTTCTCTGAGAGCGAGGTTGAATTTTAACTTTTAAGTCATTTTCTTTGTCCTTAGTATCTTTGGTTTGTCTCAGGAGTGACTCACTGTCTGAGACAGCCTTGCCAAACCCTGCTATCAAAATCAGTATTATTTTCTTATCTGGACTTGTTTGTTTCTAGATAAAATGAATGCAGTGACTTTATTCTTTGTGTTTTATTGTGAAACCTTTAGGCTCTAAATAGGATCATTGCAAAAATTCTAAACTGATAAACCAACACAGTCTAACTAATTCTACTGTTTTGCATTTACTTGGTTTTCATTTCGAACTGTCACATTAGGTGTTGTCACAGAGTCCATGGGATATGTATTTTCCCCCTCAAAAAAGGTCTAAACACTATTGGGGAAATTATATTTTATTTATGTTTGTACATAATATCAGTCCTTTTTTACATACAGTATTGGGACCAGTCCAATTGTTTGTGTCCAACTAGCTACTTTATTGTTCTTCTCATGATTAATACATAATGTTGTTATTTCTGTATAACTTGCAGGAACCAGATTTACATAGCACCATCAGGTGTCCAAAAGGAAAGAATACAGGTGAGCCGGATTCCACCAAAATTTGAAGCGGTGCTCGGTACAGATGGTGACATGTTCCAAATGAGTGACATGAACAAATTAAAAAAAATATATGTATGACAGTTTCTGTCAAATTATTTCAACTTTTTTTTTMMTTTGTTTTGTTTTGTTTTTGTGTGTGTGAATGTGTGTGTTTGTTTTCAGCCAGAGGATATGTTTGTGTGTGACGTGGAGGAGAGGGATATCAGTTCTCCACCCGCCTGGAAAAAGTTGAAAAAAAGCCAGTGTACACCGCTTTTTATGAACGCCTACACCATGAGAGGTTAGGAACTCTACCTGATTACATAGCTCCCAAACTTTCCACTGTTTGCTGCCAACCATAGATTCAGGCTGCAGACAAAATGTAAAAAAAAAGTATTTTTAATTAAATCTGCATTGCAGTTTTTCATTTTGTCAGTGTCAGTCCAGTCTGCAGAATATTGCTAATTATCTTTGACTGTTTTCAACAATGCATTTTTTTATTGAAAATATCAAGCTGTATATGAAAAATGGATTCTGAATGCTTTTTGAAGCAGATGAGATGATACTTTGACAAGGAGGAAGTACATGATACTAATAATTAAAACTTGATAAGACAAATCATTAATTTCTGAAGCTTAATATCCTTTCAAATTAAAATCATCTTTTAAATAAATCACCCTGCACACTGATAGAAGTTTTAATAATACAAAAAAAGTTTTAATGTCTTATTTTAAGTGTTTTCTGCTCCTGAATAATGTGATAATGCAATTTTAAGTTATTATGTGGGTAAGATTTTAGGTATCATTCTTGGTCTGAAGCTTTTTTTTTCCTGTATGAAAAAAAACTCCTTGGATATAAAGTGCATAAGATTAGATACAAGACTGGGCATCAAACGACATGTCTTTATTTTTGTACTAGAGTTGTTTTATTTTTATTTATTTTATTTTATTTTTTTCTTAATTCATTCAATATTCAAAAATGATGAAGAAAACTTTGAACTTAAAAGGTCAATGTTAATATTTCCCCATGGGTCAAACATTTGACTGCTTCATGAGTTCAAACCTTACTGTCAGGCTATTATACATCGTTGGTCTTAATAGTCTTTGTGGGGACAAATTGTTTTACAAAGTTTACCCTCTTTCTCCTTGTAAACTTAAGAAAAAAAACAAAACAAAACTGAAAGCTTAGGTACTGATCATCAATACTGAAAGTTTATGTTGGGTTCATAGGTGTGCTTTAGCCACAGTGTTGGATCAGATCTCAGCACACAGGCATAACCATAAACAGGTGTAACAAGTTTGAAAACACTGTGTGCCATTTCTAACATGTCTGCCTAATTATCATACATGTACAGTAAGTATAAATTACAGACTTCCTAAATTTGTCAGGTGATTCTGTGCATAAATAAAACCCACCTCTCCCCTTAAAATTGAAAGATATGGTTTGCCGAAATGTCTTTAGGTAACACAAAAAAGAAAAAAAACATGATGAGATAATATTCAGGACAATGTTTGCTAAAGAATGCATGATTAAAGGTAAACTCTTAAGTAACTCACCTGTCTGCATGCCAGGTCTATTTGCATAGATTATAAAATATCAAGGTTGCATAATCTCGATATTTAAACCAGTACTAACAGTAAGGTATCCATTTTTACTCCTGCATTTATCTATTATTTGCAAGAGACAATACTGTATGTGAAGACAGCACTCCTAAACCAATTTTATTTTTTCTTTTTCTAAAATGCAGGGGCACAGGCAGTTATACACACCCACTCCAAGGCTGCTGTCATGGCAACTCTGCTGTACCCTGGCAAAGAGTTCAGGATAACACACCAGGAGATGATAAAAGGGATCCGTAAGGGCACCTCAGGCACAAACTATCGGTTTGTAATCAAGCAGCATGCATTAGCAAAGCCAAAAAAAGCAAACAAAAAAAATGAAGATTTATTTCTTGGGCAAGTAAAAAAGGTATAGAGCCGTTCAGGAAGTGTTTGTTCACCATATAAAAGGTCATTTGTTTAAAAAAAAAACATTCATTTTCAGAAAAAAAATAAATGTTAAAAAAATTTACTTGTCAGTTGATTTAAACTTTCACCATAAAAAATCATGTGTTATGTTCTGACACAATTTAATCCAAACGGAAATATTGGCCATCACTTGATTTTATTTTTATTTCATTTTTTCTTTGAAGCTAACATGCTCGACTTTCTGTCTTCACCACACCATGGTTCGGCTGATCCACTGCACACACAGTACAGTTTAATCATATTTAAGTAGCCCGTTTTTTTTTGGCCATGGTACTTTAATGTGCCTAGTCTTGCCTTTTCTTTCCCAATAATACCTCATGCGAACAGAATAATTTGCTGTGAAATTGTTTATTAAGGAAGACTTGACTCCACCTTTAACAAAGCCGGTACATGATTTCACAATGACAGAAAATACTGAATACAGCAATGGTTTTATCNGTGGCCTGGCTGTGCTGGGGTGGGTTCAGGGTGGGCACGGGGGCTTAGGGTTCTGGGGTTGTGCCGTCCCTGGGCTGTGGTCCTGGTGGGGCCGGGGGGGCTTGAGTCCTGGCTGGCGGGTTGCTGGGGTCTGGGCCGGTTTGTGCCCTGGTYCCCGGCTCTGGGCGGGGGGCCTTTGGTGCACTGGTGGGCTGTGGGTCTCATGAGCTGCGGTGTTGGGCTGGCTGGGGGCGGGGCCGGTGGTCCGTGGGAGTGGACAGGCCAACCCAGCCTGGGTGTCTAGTGTGCTATTTGTTCTGAGAGTTGTCTGAATGTTGGGTCGGGTATAGTATTTCCRCTGGGGTGGGGCTGGGTGGGTAGCCTTGTGGGCAGCCAGGGGCTGTGCTGTGTCGGCTGGCTGGCCCCTTTGTTGTGGCYYAGGCTCGCTCTTGGTCCCTCCTTGCGCTGTTGGCGGCTGGGTGTGCACTCTCGGCCGAATCATCCTTGCTGGGGTTCGGTAGCCTCTTTGGGTTGCAAGCTGGCTATGGGGCTGGGAGTCTGGATGGCCCTGGGGCGGGTGGACTGTTGGTCCCGGTTTCTGACGGTCCTCTGGGCTCTGTCTGTCCGTGATCTGGGGCTTTCTAGGCCCGGTGGTCTGTCCGGAGGAAGAGGTATTGGGGCCTCATTCCCTGAGTGGGTCTTGGGCAGATAAATTTGCCTCGAGGATTTTCTGTAATCGAATTACTCGAATGATTCAAGGAATCGTTTCAGCCCTAGGGCAGTGATCACCTGTGACTGATACATTCAGTGTTTACATCAGGAATGGGCAGCTTAAATGATGGAGGGGGCCACAATATTTTATTGACACTACCACACAGCACTGCGCACTTACCCAAATATAATAAAACTTAAAAATATGTATTAAACCAAAATACAATGAAGTAGTTGTACAAAACATTTGAAGCAAACAAACAAAAAAAAATGAACCCTTATTTTAGCAAGCTGAAGTGCAGCGGCATAGGACACCTTGAGTGCAGAGTCCTGTGTGGTTTCCCCCAGAGAGCTGCTTTGAGTACTGTATTTTTTTTTTTTATATTAAAAACAAATTGGTGGGGGGCCTCATTTGCGGGCTGGCCAGAAGTCACCTGCAGGCCGGATGTGACCCATCCCTGGTGTAGATTCTGTACTTTTCCCAAACATGGTCACCATGGTCTGTAAGCGTAAAGTGCTTTGGGATCCATAGGGACTTGATAAAGCACTATATAAGTTCAAGCCATTTACATATTCCATGTTGTCCCTATTAGACTGAATTTGCCACAGAATCTGTGGCACAGATCTATTAAAAGTATCTTGAAGCAGATTGGAATGRTCATTCATTAAACTGACCAGGTTGTAATTGCAAAAGGCAATGATTCCAGAAGTTTCCAGCTTTAGTGTCACTGGAATTATTTATTTTTTTCTTTGTGCCTTGCRGTACAGGTATGACGACATGTTGCTGGTGCCTATTATTGAAAACACCCCGGAGGAAAAGGACTTGAAAGACAGGATGGCTCGAGCAATGGAAGAATACCCAGATTCATGTGCAGTTCTTGTTCGCAGACACGGCGTTTACGTTTGGGGCATTTAAAATGACTAGAAACTCCAATTTACAATTAATTCAATATAAAGTCCTTTATAGACAGAGTTGCACATAAGTGGTGCGCAGGTGCACATGCGCGATCAAAAAAAAAAAGTGCGTCAGATGGAATGCCATAAAGCTCTCTTGCATAACTAAGACTGTACCTGAAATTGTGAAAACAACAGCTAGCAGGGTCGCAAATGTGACCTGATTTCTTAAAAACAAACAAAACAAAACAAATCCAGCCTCACTGGTATGACTGGATCGTCGTTCTGTCAGAGTAGGGCAGCAGGACCCTGATGTATGAGGATTAAATGGACACTGCTTTCAACGAATCAGACGAACTCCAGAGCCGTTTTATCCAATCAGAGCAGAGCAGGGCCGGACTTTCAGTGAGAGCTGTTTTCAGTAGAGACAGCGGCTCGAGCAGCAGCTGCAGCGGTCAGTCCTGACATSTCCTCCTGCACTTTGCTCCTGAACTACCAGAGGTTTGGGTCTCTAAAACTTAACTTTATATTAAATATATGTTCAGAGCGTTGTTATCGAACAGATCTNCTGTATTTATCTCTAACAATCTGCTGCATTTTGTAGGTGTGAATGCTATGATTACCTGTTCGACATTGCAGTCCAGATGAAGCAGTGTGGATTGGACCCCTCAACCTTTCCAAAGGAGGAAAAGGGAATAGTCTGACATTTGCTGGTGCCCACTGTAAAGACATTTGTTACAGAGGGGTTAGTTCAGTTCAATCAGGAGGGCAGATTGTAATCATTTGCTTTTCATGGCAGCCTCCTTCAAAATTGATGAAATTTGATGGTAAGGGCAAATTCAGGGCTGAAGATCGAATGGCTGTAATCTGGAAGTCCCTGCAGGTACACTGTAAAGCACTGTGGGACAACTCACCAGAGAGTAGCTGTCAAACCAATGTCCTCAGGTTCAAATGCTTTATTGTTCAAGCCTGACTACACTGGAATCCAGGTTTTGCTGTATGTCAGGGATGAAAAGAACATGTATCTCACTTGATCTGTAATATTTTTAACTTCCTGTGCCTGCATAAATAAAACATAAAATGTCAGTGGTGACTTGCAGATTTATCTTATTTTTTTTTATTTTTTGTTTTGTTTTTCTGAATCTGCCTGTTTAAATTTTTAAGCCACATTTCAAATGTAACAAACCATTTGCAAATGAGACACGACTTTGACCGGTGAAATGAAAACAAAACAAAAAAACAAAACAGCGTACACTTAAGTGCCTGTGGTCATTTTGTCAAACATCTTTGACTGAAAATAACTCCATGTTGCATAAAAGAACTCTTGCTGTGTCCATGGACATCCTTTCATTCCCACACCACCATTCCATCAGCAGGCAGGCAAAAACCCGCGCGGCGCCTGTAGATCTTTGCACAGCATGTGTTCTGTTGTGTGCATACTCATTTCTCATGAAAGCCGGAGCTGTCATTCTTTTAACAAGCTCCCTTTGCTGCCACTACCCCAGCGCTTCCACAACTACTCACTCAAAAGAGAACACTGTCAAATGTGCTGCAGGCTTATTAGATTGGTTAAAAAATATGTAGCACTAAATAAGAACAGAACTCTTCTTTTTTTCTTTCTTTCTCTTTTTTTCCCCTCTTTGTTTAAGTGCCAAGATTCCTCACCACCTAACGAGGAATTCTGRTGAACTCGCTCCCAAAAGAAACCAAATGTCCAACCCAAAACCTAAAAAAAGTGATGTTCTGAACATCACAATGCCAAAGACAAAATGTATGGATTTAAGTTTACTCATTTTGATAAGTGATTATTTTTTTTTCTTTCTTTGAAAAATGTCAAATTCCGACACTAATCAGACACAGTTTGAGACCCTCAAGCTGCTCGTGCCAGTTGTTATGTATATTATACTTCCCAGCATCCATTTCATTATGCATTGATTTTATTATGTATTACCTGTCAGACAGAAAATTTCAGGGACTGGCACATGAGGAATAGAATATGAAGGAGTCACACAATAGAAGAGCTCTGGGGGGCACTGTGACACATCTGTTAGCACAGAATGGAGCCAGATTGGCTCTGAAACCTTACTCAAATACCTCGGGTTATTTGAACCGCTGAACAGGTGCTGTCATGTTGTCAGATGATATATATCTTTTTTTTTTCTTATAAACTTAGCCTTGTTTGAACCTGACATGAGGTCAAGAAAAGATGGGGTTGAGACGTTTAAGAACTTAAGACAGCTCAGCTGCAAGCAGAACCTGACTACACTTAACACTAAGGGAAGACCGTCTGTTCAGGTGAATGTGGAATTGGACTAAAAATAGATTTAACCTATTCAAGATTTAAGGCAGATTATATAAAGTTGTATGTTGTTAATTATGGTAAAATGTGGCTTTATGATAAAGGTCAGTAATTCAAACACCACTGCAACAATGTTTTGTATCATTTAGAGTCGTCAATCGCATCTCTTATATAGTTAAACCGGTTAAGTTGCATTGGCTTTGATATAAAAAAACAACCTTCCATATTGTTGTATACTGTATGATAGAACGCAACAGTTAATGTGACATTTTTATTCCCCTTTATATGTCTGAGACAACACTGGGTGCTTTAAAGCTGACATCTATTTAAAAGCATTGCACAAAAACAAAACTCTGTCGTTTTGTTGCGGCCCACACATTTGAGAAGTGAGCAGTTTGGCCTGTGTGAGAAAAGTGTGTCACTTCTGCTAGGGGTAGAAGAAATCCAGCCCAGTTCTCTGTATCCACCTACTTTAACTTAAAATCCTGCTACAGTCTTTTACCTCAGAAGTGGCACAGTTGGGCTTCTACAGGACGACATTGAGCTGTCTCATTTCACAAGTCTGTACTTGTGTAGGAACAGGTTTCAGCTGATGAGCATCAGAAAACGGAAGGTGAAAAATAATTTTATCGTCTTGTACTTAATCCATCTAATGCTGGATCCAGAATGTTTGTTGCATCTGCCATACATTCAGATGCATTTAGACTAAAATATAAATAAGCACAGTCAACCATCACAATTTTGTTACAGTCTATTTTTTGACATTCACAAAAACAAAAGAAGGCTTTTGACCTTTATAGATTTCTTTTTGTCACTTTAGGGCGTTTCAGATTCTCAAACACATGGCAATATCAGAAGAAGGGAACATGAACAAATGGCCGTTTTTTAAAATGATGATCTCATTTAATAAAGTTATCCAGACCAAACTAGCCCTGTGTAAAATTTGTTTCCATCCAAACCCAATAGATGGCTGTGGAGGAACTTTGCTGCTGTAATCCGGCTCCCTAACAAAGTACAAAWACTTTGCTCCGTTACTTAAGTAGAAATTTTGGTTGTCTATACTGAACTTGATTAATTATATTTTAGACAATTCTTTACTTCTTCTTTACTGCTTATATTTTCATGCAATTATCTGTACTTTTTACTTCCTACAATTGACAAAAAAAGAGAAGTAGGAAATCATTTCTCCTAGTTCATGTTTGCCTGTTTACATCACAAATCATGTCACACTCCAGCAGATGTATGAAGATGATGTGACAGAGATAAACAGGTAAATGCAAAGCTAAAAAATGGTTTGCATCCCAAATGTTTCAACGTTAACATTTTAAAATAACATCATGACCTTTAGATTTTTTTTAATTATTATTTATTTTGTTCCTCCTCCCAATAAATGTCATTTTGGAAATTTCAACTATTACTTTTACTCAATACTTTTCCTTTTAATACTTAAGTATATTTCATATCAGAAATTTACTTTAGATACTGAAGTACAGTAAATGTCAAGTATGAGACTTTTTCTCAAGTAATATTCTTAGAGGAGACTTTAACTTTTACCACAGTCATTTGTGATAAGATACCTGCACTTTCACTTAAGTATCACTTTGAGGTCCTTTATATACAATTACTGCTGAAGGACACAAGTGAGTTCGGGCTTAAGGCCTCTTACTGACGGGTAGACTTTCTACTTCTTCAGAATTCATTTTTCCATTTGTCTTGTAGCAAAGAAGCCCAGATCAACACCCTACCATCACTGTGTCTGACTGCTGGATGGGATAATCTGTTTCTGAAATTTGGTTAGTTTTACGGTTGATCAAACCGGACACACACCTTCCAGACAACCAAACAATACTTTGTTTTGTTCTGTCATATACTGTAACATCTATACAGAATCAGCTGCTATAAACCTCAGGGTTTGCAAACTCATGCTATTTTTAGCCCCACAGAACCCTGAGACATATTTCTCTTTCCATTTTTCTCGGTACGTTTGCTCAATCGCTTGAGCTCTTTCAAAAACCTTCCTCGATGTTTATGCTTCCTGACAAAAGCTTACGTTTTATGTTGCCCTGGACAGCCAAGAAATCACATTACTGTTTTGAATCCCCTTCCTCTTTATTACTGTAGCCATTAGACGTCCTTCTTGGAACACATTACCAGTTGCTATGCAGAGCATATCATTAAAAGCATTGCAGAAAATGTTATTTTCACCAGTGTTTTCCATCAGCTGAGGGATGTTAAACAGCTGAAGTGCTGTAGTGGCGCCTCTCAACCCATAAATTATGTTCAAGTTGTATTAACGTGTTTGGCACCCATGTCTCAGGAGAAGAGGAACACTCATTGCTGTGCCATATTTTTTACGATATTGATTAAAGTGTAAATGTGTTTATGATTTTTAGCTCCAGTAAAAGCGTTGTGACAGGCCAAATGGTGATATGAATTAATATTATTGACGTTCAGACTCAAGTACTACAGGTCTATGTGTATCAAGCACTCAGCACACAGCCAGACATCCAAACAAAATCCACTTGAATCTCAACAATGTGTCTTCCAGGCAACATTTATAATACCACTCTTGCTTTTAGATTTCCCAAATAACTTCCTGGAACTCTGATCTTCTTTTTACTTTGTAATTAAAAATATGAGAGAAAATAAAAGAAAACATGCAGCACAATATGAATATACTATAATAATGGAGTTTTGGGGCACAGCATGTCCTTTTGCCTTTTACTCATCAGGACAAACCCAGCTCTGAGGCTGCATATTACATTGTCCTCTATCTGTTTATGTCATTGTTTTTGTCATATTAGCAAAATATCTCATGAACAAAAGGACATATTACATCAAAATCATAAGATGTCGATCTACAAATTATTATTATTATTATCATTATTATTTGAGTCAACCTGATTTAAGATGGCTGCCAAAGCTAAGGAACTTTAGCAAACACAAAAATGACTAGCCTATTGCTCAGTCTCATTTACAGTGAATGAGATCAAATTTAGTGTGGTAACTGAGAGTCATTCAAAACACATGGTCTGAGTGCTCACAGACTAGATCTATTTTTAATTTTGCCATATCCACAAATTAACTATGCCTGTCGGTTAACGTAAATGTCTTCTATACTACTAACCTACTGAAACTGACTACTGGATGTACTGGATCTGCAACTTGTTTATTTTTAGTCTGCCTTATTCAAGATGGCTACCACATCCTTCTGATTTGCAATAAACACAAATTCAAAATTTTCTATAAAGCTAAAATCTGT